GAAAGCGCGCTTTTGTGGCGGGAGTAGCTGATGATCAGGGCTTTGGTTGGGCCATCTCCAAAGCGCTTGCAGAGGCGGGAGCGGAGATTATTCTTGGCACCTGGGTGCCGGTGAGTGTTCCTAGACATCGCTCTCTACTGTCTCCCATTCATCTCGTGCATTGTTATTTTGTCCTTCAGGACTTTTCGTCGATCTGTCTTAGACCTTAATTACGTCCAGATGCAGTCAAAAAAGTCCCTACTGAGTTCAAACGTGCGCTAGTTTTTTGTTAAGCAGTAGGTCTGAGAACTCAACGACCCCCCCCCCCCCCCCCCCCCCCCCCCAAAAAAAAAAAAAAAAAAAAAAAACCCCCCCCCGCCCCCCAAAAAAAAAAAAAAAGAAAATAAAGTAAATCCTTTGCGTGTGGGAGGGGAGGTCGGTTACCAGAGGGAGTTCATKTCTGTTTTTTTTTGGGAACTATTTTCTCCTTATCACGTTTGTGCTCTTTGGGCCTGGCTCCGCTACTTGTAGGTCTTTTTTTGGCCCGCGCAATGGTAATCGTGTCGCATGTGCTCTTTCTTTTTTTTTTGTGCAGGCACTCAGTATTTTCGAAACATCAATGAAGCGGGGGAAGTTTGATGAGTCGAGGAGGTAATAAATATTATAATGTGTGACTCAACAAAGCAGGCTGCGTGATTGATTGCGCTGAACCTCAATCTATGAGTATTTGGTATGGTAGAATGATGCGGTGATGGTTGGTCAGGGTTGTTTCGTAGCTATTTATCGGATATTTCAAGATCTTTTTCACATGCTTCAGCTGTAATTTGTGGCTATGTGTTGGGCTATGCGTCGGTATTTACTGACTCTGCTATTTCTAATACTGATGATTGAGATGAAGTGAGAGTCCATGAGCGTAGTGGGTGGTGAGAGTAGTGGAGTGTGAGTTTTTTGGGGGTTAATAAACTTTAAAAGATGATTTTTTGGACGGTCTTTGTTTTTTTGTTTTTTTTTTTGTTTTCATTAACTGTTTCTTTGGACATATTTATGGAAGGTCTTGTTAATCTATTAAGTTTTAAGAACTTTTTTTTGTTAGTTTCTACTGTTTCTTTTAACTTTTAAACAAGCTTTTGGAAAAAATGATGCAAGTGGCATTCGGGAGGCAAGGGTTCAATCCCCATTGGCCTCACGTACTATCCTGGGCAAGCTTGGTGCGTGCCAGCTAGAGATAGTCTGTTGGACCCCCTGCGCCACATTCAGCCGAGACTGCTGATGTTTGTCGGGGGGAGGGGACCGGAGGGGAGGCATAGGGAAATGTCCAGTTGGCATGGTCCCTGATGGCACCAGCGGGCCCCTGGCTGGTATTGCCCACCTGCAGGTCAGGTGCAGCGCCCGCCTGTTCCGTCGTTGGAGGCTCAAACTCGGACTAGCTGCTACGGGGTTCCTCACAATACTATAATGATAATGATAAATAAAAAAAGGCCTGAAAGGCCGTCCTGTCCAGATTTGACAGGTAATTGAATTGTTTGGGATGAAAAGAATTATCCAAAAAACAGCAGCAGCAACAACAACAACCACAACAAGAACAACAACATCCTTGCTCCTAAGTCATGCTGTTAAAAATGTGATATTGCTTGAGCTTGTTGCTTTCCTAATTTGGAAGTTTGGATATAATGGAAGGGGTTGTGGCAGATATCAGGTCAATTGGTTGTTTGGTTCTCGGTTGTCACTATTGGAGAATGAGAAGCTGACGGGTGATTGCATGACGTGTCTTTCCCATCCCATCACGTTCCCTCCCCTCCCCTCCCCTCTCCTTCCCT